ATTTAGCGATTCTGAAAATTGGGCCGAAAGTGAATTTTGAATGTCAAAATTTACAAAAAATCTCTTTAGGTAATTTTCGAAGGTGATTAAAAAAGATCAAGTTTTCATATTTGTGTTGAAAAATTGAGCTTTTGAAAGTTTTTAAAAATTCAGAAAAAATCTGGAATATAGATCGATCAAGATTTTAGAAATATTCAGTTTGAAATTTTTTTTTTTCTTAAAAATTGTCATACGTATTTTTTCGGACGATTTTGGAAAATGGTAAAAGTCTAAAAGTTATTAAGGAAATGAAATCGAAAGTAACTTCTGCAGGTCAAAATCTCTTTAAATAATTTTTGCAGGTGGTCGAAAAAAGGTCAAAATTTTTATAAATGGAAAAAGTAAGCTCCTCAAAAATTGGCTAAACATCTACAAAAAACTCTAGGAAATCGATCTCGACGACTGATGAGAAAAATATAGGGTATTTATAGTCCCGGAACAAGATTTTGGAAATATTCTTTTTGAAAATAATTTAATTTTTAAATCCGAAAAATTTCCATAATTCTCTGAGCAATGCCGGAAAACCCTAAGTATTATCAAGGAAATAAGGCCGTAAGTAATTTCTGGAGGCCAAAATCTACACAAAAAATGTGTTTAGGTAATTTTCAAACGTGTTCAAAAAAGGTCAAAATTTTCATAAATTGGAAAACTGAGCCTTTGAAAGTTATATAAAATTCTACAAAAAATTTTGGGATGTAGACCTCAACGACGCGATTCGAAAAATATAGCATATTATAAGTTCTGGAGCAAAATTTTAGAAATATTTGGTTTGAAAATATATATATATTCATTATATTTTTTAGAAATATTCGGTTTGAAAATATATGTATTTTTTTATTTCGAAAAATTACCATATTTCGTTAAGCAATTCTGGAAAAACGAGAGTTATCAACGAAATGAGACCAAAGTAGTTTCTGCAGGTCAAAATCTACAAAAAATCTCCTTGGATAATTTTCGACGGTGGTTAAAAAAAGTCAAAATTTTCAAAAATTGAATTTTAGAACGTTGTCTAAAATTCCACAAAAAATTCTGGAATATAAATCTCGATGACACTATTCGAAAAATATAGCGACTAGTGTCTCGGAGCACATCTATTTTTTTATCCGAAAAATTGTCATATTTCAATAGAGCAATTCAGGAAAAATGGTAAGGGTTATTTATTTAGGAAATGAGTCAGAAAATAACACTGGGAGGTCAAAATCGAAGGTGGTAGAAAAAGGGTTAAAATTTTCGTAAATTGAAAAATTGAGCTTTTGAAAGTTGTCTAAAAATATACAAAAAATTCTGGGATATAGATTTCGACGTCCTGATTCGAAGAATATAGGGTATTTAGAGTCCCGCAGTAAGATTTTAGAAATATTTGGTTTGAAAACCATTTTTTTTTATTCTAAAAATTACCGTAAGTATTTAATCGAGCGATTCTCGAAAATGGTAAAAGTTATTAAGGAAATGAAGAATGATGCCGAAAGTATCTTCTGAAAGTCAAAATCTGCAAAAAATCTTTTTAGGTGATTGAAAAAGTCAAAATTTTCATAAATGTCAAAATTGAGGTCTTCCAAAAATTTTCTAAAAATCCACAAAAATTACTAGGAAATAGAATACGACGATTGATTCGAAAAATATAGGGTATTTATAGCCCCGGGGCAAGATTTTAGGAACATTCTTTTTGAATTTTTTTTTTAAATCCGAAAAAATTTCATTAAACAATTCTGGAAAAACGGTGAGAGTTATGAACGAAATGAGAGCGAAAGCAGTTTCTCGAGGTCAGAATCTACAAAAAATCTCTTTAGATAATTTTCAACGGTGGTGTAAAAAAGGTCAAAATTTTATAAATTGAAAAATAGCTTCTGAAAGTTGTCTAAAAGCCACAAAACATTCTGAGATATAGATTTCGACGACCTGAATCGAAAAATATAGCGTTTTATGGTTCCAGAGGAAGACTATAGAAATATGCTGTTTAATTTCTTTTTAATCCGAAAAATTGCTATATTTCATTTAGCAATTCTGGAAAATAGTAAAAGTTATCATGTAAACTGGATCGCAAGTAACTTCTGGAAGTCAAAATCTACAAAAAAATCTCTTTAGGTAAGAGGTAGAAGGTCATTAAAAAAGGGTTTTCATATTTATACTGAAAAATTGACCTTTTGAAAGTTTTCTAGAAATTCACAAAAAATCTGGAATTTAGATCCATCAATATTTTAGAAATATTCGGTTTGAAAATCATTTTTTTATCTTAAAAAATTCCATAAAAAATTCTAGAAAAGAGATCTCGTGGTCCCCGAGTCCGAAAGTAAGAACTGGAGATCAAAATCGAAGGTGGTAGAGAAAAGGTCAAAGTTTTCATAAATTGAAAAACTGAGCTTTTGAAAGTTAATTAAAAATCCACAATAAATTCTGGGATATATACTCGTAGATCTCGACGACCTGATTCAAAAGGCGTATTTGTAGTCCCGGAGCAAGATTTTAGAAATATTCGATTTGAAAATCAAAATTTTTACGTATCCTAAAAATTGTCATAAGTATTTCATCGAGCGATTCTGGAAAATGGTAAAAGTTATTACAGAAGTTCTTCTGGAGGTCAAAATCTGGAAAAAATCTTTTTAGGTAATTTTCGAAGATGGTCGAAAAAAGGTAAAAATTTTCATAAATAGAAAAATTGATATCTTTAAAAAATATAGCGTATTATAAATTCTGGAGCAAAATTTTAGAAATATTATCATATTTCATTAAGCAATTCTTGGAAAACGGTAAGAGTTACCAAAAAAATGAGGTCGAAAGTAGTTTCTGGAGATCAAAATCTCTAGATAATTTTCGAAGGTGGTCAAAAAAAGATCAAAATTTTCATAAATTGAAAAATTGAACTTTTGAAAGTCGTCTAAAAATCCACACAAAATTCTGGGATATAAATTTCGATGATCTGTTTCGAAAAATATAGCGTATTTGTTTATTCGAAAATAACATTTTTTTTCCTAAAAATTGCCCAATTTCATGTTGGCAATTCTCTGAAACTGTAGGAATTACAAAAAAATGGAGCCAATCTACAAAAAACTCTATAGTTAATTTTGGAAGGTGTTCGAAGAAAACTAAAATTTTTCGAAATTTTGTACACGATTTAAGGTTAACGTTTCATCCCTTCTAAAAGCTTGAAATTTATAGTGTGAGAGGTTCTTTGATTATAATTGTTTTCATATTTTTTAGAGCTACTTATGTTACAGATGTGGCAAAAAATTAATTAATGAAGTAATTTATTTCATCAATTAAAATAAAAATTGAAACAATCACCCTGAAAAACGTATTTACGTAAAATAAAATAGCTTTTGTAGTAAACTATACTTTTAAGCAAAATAATGCTTTAAATTTGGAGTAATTCATTTTATTAAAGTTCCGGTCTGTATATTTGACCTAATATTTTATTATCTTTGTTTTCTGTTCTTTGTCAGAACTTGTTTAGGACTTTTACAAATGTATTTATAACTCGAAGTGAACATTATTATTATTTATTCTTGAAACACATTACTGTTTTTATCAGAGCTAACACTGTTGTAAATATCAGAAGTGGATGATTGTTTTTTCTAAAAAATTGACCACAAAATTTTATTATGAAAACCTCACGTACATCATGTACACTTTATTGCCTGAAGTTTAACAGTCAACCCTATTTATTTTGATATACTTATAAAAGAGTAGTTGCGGAAACTTCTTCCAGAGCTTTTACACCCAAACTCCGACAATGTATGTAACCTGTAAATACCGCACGAATCTCGCAATAGGGATGGAAAAAATGCCAGCGTTGTAATTATTAAAATATGTTAATTTAATTACTGTTATTTTGTTCTGTTTAATAGTAATATATACGCATCAGTTAGCATTTATGAAAAAAAAAGTTCAACGTCTATTTTGCCTCACAAATTAGGTTCAAGTTTTCTCGTTACTGAAACTAAACAACAAATAACAATAAATTAAACCCCCGTTTTCACAAAAACGCTGCTCTTCAACACGCATATTTACACTAATTTACCACTTAACATTTCATATTATTCATAACCTCCCCGTCAGAAATTGTACGTTTATCAGACTCCAACACAACTTCAACATTTATAATGGTCATTTTTTTCACAGGGAGAAGCATGTTAGCGTTATTCTCGGCCTCGTGTTGCTAGTTTTACATTTTTGCCGACAGATAATCTGATTGTTGCTGTAGGATTTATAGTTGCTGGAAGGGTGTCCTATTTCTATATTCGTAGGTATGGAGTTCCAGGCGTTACTTTACGTAATTACATTGTTGCTTTGATGTTTTAGGGTAGGGTGTAGTCTACTAATAGTGAATACAGAAAACGTGGAAATAACTAAGAGAAATCAAACAACAACGAAAAAAAAAAACAAACTGAGTTAGAATTTAAATTAACAACTACGAGATTAATTTTTACTGGATATCTCTCATTTCGTTTTGCGAGCACTCATTTATACTTGGATATAGAGTGACTAAAATGGAGTCGTTAAATTATTACGACTATGAAAACTTATCTTTATGCCTCTCTTACTTCCAAATGGTAAGTAAAGGGAGTACTGTAATTGGGTAATTTTCACGAATGTCTAATTTCGTGTCTACTACAGACCATATTAAAAAAAATATTTATTACTCCGATCCAAAAGACTGATGACATCATTTCATTATTATTTTGCTTATGCGTATTTACATACGTAAAATACAGAATTCGTTAAACAAGACTTTTCCTTTAATTTGTATATGGATCAAAATTGCTTCCCGGTTACTATTAATGTAAAAAGCCCCAACAATATATTGATAACGTAGTAATTTCCCTAAAGGCGCGTTTAAATATTTTTATGAATAATTCAGTTACAACGAATGTCGGTTGGAAGTATTACCGCAAAAATTGGTTATAAAAACAATGGAAAATAATTTTCCTTACTTAAATTTATCTCTATAATTAATTACCGACCTTTTTTCAAATCGTTTGATATTTGCTGAAAGCTCCCACATGCACAAAGCACATTCAACAGACACAAAATCTTCCACATTTCAAACAACTTCTTTCATGATTTCAGAGAACTCGACCGTATGTAGGTATTACTGTAACTAAAAGACTTTTTCTAATTTTCCTCCTTTTACACGTGGGTATCAGACATGCGCGAAAATTTCATCAAATTATTCTTTGATTCCCTTGTCGGTGTTTATGTCCACATCAACAATCGCTTATCACAATACACACAATATAAATTTTATTTTAAACTAAATGTCAAACGAAGTTGGCTTTTCCAACAATTAAAACTTATCCCCACGGATTAATTATTAAGTTTGAAAGAAACTGGGAGGGAGTTTGAGGACTTAATCCTCGGATTGCGTAAAGTTTCGATGACAACTTCGTGCAATCATTTTCTTGCTGGAAGAGTAAACATTTAATCAATTTTTGCGGGGTTTAATGGCAGTTTCATTGACAGGAGCTTATCATTATCAGAAGAAACATATGTGCAGCCATTATGTTTGGCATCGCATTAACTAAAGGAAGCAATTCACTCACACATACGTCAGTAATTCTATTGATTAAGCGACATTGATTAACATTTTATTTTGACAACCCCTAACGTGGAGCGTAATCATAATAGTACACACAAGAACAAAAGAATAATACTGTTCTATTATTTTTTATGCCCGGGGGTGTGAGAATAAAGCATGAGGTTTCTACTTTACTGCAGAGCAGAGTAAATTAATTTAATACTTTTCGGTACAGTTTTTACTATCACAGCACTTCGCTCTAGAGTAATTTAATGCTGTGCAGATTTACCGAACCCGTACTTTAATTAGAAGACTAATTGAAATTTAACTTGTAAAGAAGACTCCACGACTAGAATTTTTTACATCTGCTAGAATGAAAAATCAGTCAGACTTGATGAAAAAATAAAAATAATTTTCACATTAGCACAAATCTTGTCGTGCGTCTTCACTAAATTAAAGCTTTTGCTCCGTCACCGAGCTTTATTTAGCGTACAAAGAAACAAACAATTTTATTAAAAGCTTCAAGCTCTTTGTTTTCATTAGCGCGATCTTCTACTGATCTCCCCAAGACAGAAAACACGTACCGTAAAAGTTAATTTGTTTGATCTTTCTCGAGAGCACCTGAGCCGGTGACAAATGATTTTTCTTGAACCCACACACTGTGGTTTTATGGTTTTTTAGTACAGGAAAATCAAGGAGAAAAGGCTTTGTATAAGGACGTCTTATAGGCCGAAAAGATTTGTTTTTTCCCGCTTTGATAGATCGTGACGACTAATTAAAAAAAAATCCTTTGAATACATTTTACATGGGGAAATAAATCAAAAGGATATTAAATATTGCAGGAGGGTACTTGTGTGGGAGTTGTTGACGAGTCCCAACCCTTTTTGTACATTTTAAATTATGTTTTCTTTTTGCTTGCCGACATTTCTGGCAATTAGAATTTTTTTAGAGATTCTAAGAACGGAAAATATTACCTGTCCGTCGCATACCATCACATTGGAAATTATTTTTGTATATTAAACGATTTTTAAGAGATTTTTATTTTGAGTACGGAATTTCACAACAAACTTTCAGTATTATCTTCAAACTGGGTGCTGTGCTTCAGAAGCCAGAGAAGAAAAAAAAAGACAAAATCCTTTCAGCAGCGCTTTATTTAACCTTATAATGGAATTTCTGTGCGATATTATTCCCATTTTTACTGTTAATGGGCTGCGATAATCCACTTATACACAAAAGAAAAAGCCGCCTTCATTTACTTGAAGCTTTTTCTTCTTAAATATAATAACGTGAATAATTTGAGGACAATGTACAAGGAACTGGCCGGGAAATTATTTCTACCCTCTTTCTAAAAAAAAAAAAAAATCAAGAATATCTTTTATATTTATGGTTAATTACCCGATACAACGAATTCTGTGCCTGCAGTTTATAGATAAACGGAGATTGGAAATGATGTTTTCATGGAAAATACACCTGTTTTTTATTTATACGCTTGACTTGTTTGTACTCACATACTCGTATACACTAAAATGATCAAAGTTGGATACACATTAAAAAGAGATGAATAATTAAAAGTAAAACCGAGAGAAACGCAAAAAACTGATGAATTTTTTGTACAGTTCGGAGTAAGTGAACGCTTTGGATAAATACTCATATGTTTTGTATCCATTGCCCCGTTTTAATGGAAAATGTAAATAAATCAAACCATTTTTACGCTTGGATATTTTTTAATTAATAACAATAATTGAAAACTGAGTGTATAACTAGGTCACGCTAACTTGTAGCTTTAAAACCACTCTCCACATTTAGTCGTGTTACAAACCTTAAGGTAACCATGTGTATTAACTTTTAAAGGAAAACCTTTAAATTCGGCAGTTATTATTTTATGTAACTGAATTGTAAACAGCAGAATTAAATGAAACGTAAACTTGGTTATTTTTACCGTCTGAATTTTCGATGCTGCAACCCACGATATGATACCTTTCAAAATATTTATTTTAACTTATAACGAAACACATTCACAAAATATTTTTTTATTCAATAAAATACAACTACACGTATTCCTCTCTGAGTTTGAGGAGACGAATTGGTTCTTAGGGGCACTGTTCTCGTTTTTATTTATTTATAGCTTCGCAACGAAGAAGCTAAAAACCCCCGCAAAGTCGAAAAAATTACGAGTTAACCTGGCCCTAACTTGCGAAAATTCGTCGGTTTTACGACCAAAAAGAAATCCTATGCTGGGCAAAATTAGACCTTATAAAATCGCGAAATACGGTCTAAAGTGCATTCACGGCGGAATCATAAAGAACACATTTTATTATACGTTAATGTCGCGACAGACGTAATAAATAGGCCAAAAGTCTTGTAAAACCAGAAACACGGGAAGCAAAAAACACTCGAGTCGATATAGTACTACCTGCTGTGACGCTGCCCGAATTTCTGCTGAATTTTGAAAAAAAAACTGGACTTAAAAAAATTTGCTGAATTTTGAAGAAAGCTGGATTTAGAAACTGAACTTGCATGCAAAATTGACGCAATATCTTCTGCCCGTATTGTATTTTGTCATGTTTTTTATTTCTTGTAGAGAAATAAGGATTTTATTTATTAAGCTCCGCCCCTCGGCTTAGAACGAATAAAAAAATCATCAGAATTGCGATAGGGCGGGTGGGCGGGGCTTATATTTTGCCTTTTTTTTCTTAGTATACATAACCTTTTTTTTTAAATTGCAAAATCAATATTTTCTTATACGAATTTTTCATTTTAAACATATTTTAAGTTTCATGTTGTGAAAAGAAATCACCATATTAAAACAAAAAGGCAAAATGTAACCCCGCCCACCCGCCCGATCTCAATTGTGATGATTTTTTTTATTCGCCGTGAACAAAGGGGTGCAGCTTAACTGCAAAATACTTATCTCTTTACTAGAAATTAAAAACAGGTTTTTGAGTATCGTGTTGTTCAAAGAATACTATGTATATTAAGAAACAAAGGCAAAATATATACCCCGCCCACCCACCCCATCTCAATTGTAATGATTATTTTATTCTTAGTCACTCAAAACACGTTTCAAATGGTAAATTTTTGTAAAGAAATGTCCAACGAATGAATTTAGAACAGAGCAGGTATGGGTGGGGCTTAATCTTTGGCTTTATTATTATTATTTTCTAATATACATGGTATTTTTTTAATAACACGATACTCATGGTAATTTCTTGTAGAGAAATAATAAGGATTTTGCGATTAAATTCCGTTCCTTCGGCTCTTGAAAAATTCATTACAATTGAGATAGGGCGGGTGGGCGGGATTTACTTTTTGTCTTTTTTCTTAATATATGTAGTCGTCTTTTCAGTTATAATATAACAAGTGATATGATTATTATCGATAATATTTCAACGAGTGCGAAGCACGAGTTGAATGTGCTTCTTCGGTTTCACGAGCCATATCTTCGATTATTAATCATATCACGAGTTATATTCAACACGAGAATATAATAAATGAACACATTTTTTGATAATAGAGTTGATTTCGTCGTTTTGAGCTTGCCCCCAACGTTGGCAAGCCATAAAAGACAAAAAAATTTACGAAATTTTAAAATTTGTCAATTTGACGGTTTTTAAATTTAGGTAGCAACAGACCACAATAAGGCAATAAAATTATTATCGCTGTGATAGACATGTAACTAAGGGCATGAACAAATTCTATTGGACGAAATGGGGTCATGTGATTCATGAATTATATTCTCAGAACAAGAAACTTAAAATATGTTTAAGATGGTAAATTCTTGTAGACAAATATGGATGTTGCAATTAAGCTCCGCCCCTCGATCTGACAACGAATGAAAAATTTATCACAACTGAGAATTGAGACTGGGGAGGGTATGGGTGGGGTCTAATTTTTAGCTGTATTTTTTACTTAATATACATAGTATTCTTTGAACAACACAACATTCAAAAACATGTTTTTAATTTCCCGTAGAGAAATAAGGTTTTTGCAGTTAAGCTCCGCCCTCTTGGCTCACCACGAATAAAAAAATCATCACAATTGAGATAGGGTGGGTGGGCGGGGCTACATTTTGCCTTTTTTTTCTTAATATGTGTAGACTTATTTCGGCAACAAGCAACTTAAAACATGTCTAAAATGGTAAATTTTTTGAGTAATCAACTTGAATCCTCCACTTTTCTTCTACAACTCCTTTATTTAAATACAGCAAAAATTGAACATCAAACTTACTAATAACGACAACTTGGCAACAAAGTTTATAAATGACAATTTTCAGCTCTAAAAGCAACGTCAGCGGGAACAGCAACTGCAACGGGAACTTCAATGTCTACAGTAAGTATAAATTCCACACTAATAAAGTTGGAAAGTCGACCATCTGTGGTATCAAGAAAAAGAAAACTGCCATAAAATCGTTTAGAAATATGGAAAACTCAAAAGTTGTGCCAAAATCCTGACACAGGATCTGCAATTTTTTACATGGTCGTCTAAAACTTTGTCTTGACGCACTGATTCCAAAAATATAGTGTGTTTAGGATAGGGTCACGAAGCAATATTTTCGA